TAAATATACCCACTAGATTTCATGAATAATCTAATGTTGTAATGATCAGCATATGGAGACAGCGCCTGTTCAAACAAAGGCTTAAGAACAAAGTGTGCTACAATTATGAGGAAGGATTAAACTCTGTGTTCCTTTGTGTGTGTATCCCTCTGTGTGCACTAGCATGTATAAGTGTCTGTGTGCACAGTACATTTAAGTGTGTGTGAGCGCATGCTTGCCTACGCATGTCACATACCATATTACATCCACATTACGACAGTTACTTCATAGGAAATGTCAAAATCTAACATCCTAGTGATGGCAGTGTCTGCAGCCAGAATCAGGCCTGGTTATTTGGCCTGATTCTGGGGTGTTGTTCATCCCGAGTCTCAGCTGACTCAGGCAACTAGACTTGTCCCGACTTATTTCCTCCAGCGAGCCAAGTGTGGGCTGATGCCAGGTCATTTTTGGTAACAGCCTTGTGATGACAGTTTCAGCAGTCAGAGTTGGGTGATTTTAGTTGGCCTGATTCTGGGGTGTCATTCATCCCAAATCTAAGCTCAGTGGGGCAACTGGATGCAGCCCGACTCATTTTCTCCTGGTGTGCCGAGTTTGGGCCAACGCTGGGCCAGGTAATCTTTGGTAACAGCCACGTGAAGACAGTTTCGGCAGCCAGAACTGGGTGAGTTTATTTGGCCTGATTCTGGGGCGTCATTCATCCTGAGTCTAAGTCGAGTTGGCAAACAACATATGCGGCCAAACTTATTTCTTGCATTGTGCCGAGTTTGGGTCAGTGCTGGGCTAGATCATTTTTGGTAACAGCCTTGTGATGACAGTGTTGGCAGACAGAATTGGGTGAGTTTATTTGTCATGATTCTGGGGCGTCATTCATCCCAAGTCTAAGCCAAGTCGGGCAACTGGATGCAGCCCAACTCATTTCCTCCGGTGTGCTGCATTTGGGCCAGCGCTGGGCCAGGTCGTTTTTGAAAATGGCCCAGTGAAGTCAGTGTTGGCAGCAAGAATCGGGCCAATTTATCTGCATTTAAACATTTATTTGCCCAATTTATTTGGCCCGATTCTGGGGCGCCATTCATCCTGAGTCTCATCCGAGTCAGGCAACTGACTTATGCAGCCCAATTTATTTCTTCTAGTGTGCCAAGTTTGAGCCGGTGCTGGGCCAGATTATTTTGGCTACCTGGGATGTAGATGGCAATGAAATTCACTAGCCACTTTACAGTTGTGTTCTCAGTGCTTAGACACTAAAAGTGATTCACAGAGCACTATCTCTAAAACTCATCTACACTTGTAGCCAAAGCAATAATTGAGTGTGTTAAACTGAGTGCATGCTTTATTGCTTACTCTCAGTTTTCCCACAGTAATGTACCACTTATTGCAAAACTGTAAAGACAACTCACTGCTTTACACTCCGGTTGCAATTTTAATAACACACTTTTAGCAACACTGTAAACACTGGTGTCTGCATTGCTACACTATTTTGCTATTTGCCTTTACACACTGACACATGCTGCTGAACTCAAGACAACATCATGTGGATGAGGTCTTCTGACCAGACCCACAAAGAGAGAAAGATTTAGCCAGATTTTATGGAGCTATTTCCTTTTTTTCCCCAAACACAATTGTTTTACTTTTCTTATGCTGCACTTTTGTTGTTTGAAGAGCGTCAAAACAATTTGAGGAAAAGAAAAAGTCCCCTAACTGGCATTAATAGTGTGTTATGTTCAGAATACACATTCACACTTACACATTTGGATAGCTGTGTGTATGTGTGTGTTAGCTACATGTATGCCAGCTTTATTGCAGACTGCTACACCCTGCACACAGAAAAAGCAAAAGCTACAAGTGTTTTTCATTTATACTATAAGTGAATGGCTGGTGCTTTGAGTGCTTATTGAATTGACAGTTTGCATGTATTGCATTTATGCCAAACACATTTTAAAGTAGTTTGAAGAGTTTTGCGAGAATTGTTTGCTATTGCAAGAGATGTATGTTGTTTTGCTGGTTTGGTGTAAGATTGTTCCAAAGTAATCAGCAAAAAAAACTGTAATAAACCCCCAGAAATGAACTCTCTCCACATTTGATACTCCATGAGCTTTCCTCTTGCACCATCTTGTGTGCAGTGTCAGCCTTGCACATAAGACACAGTTTCTTACAGCGGTCTGTTCTGTCAAACACTGTACTGTGGGGTGCAATAAGATGCACAGCCTTCAGGGGGTTCTATACTTCTTCTTGAGCTGTAGACGAGGTAGGTAACAGCTACAAATACAAGAACAAGCACCCATCAAAAAATCTGAGTAATTTGTACAGGAGCACCTACCTCCATAGTTGAGGCAAGAAACTGTTTATCATAGTGTTGGTTGCTGTTTTTAAAACATTTTTAAAATTTGGTCTGAAATTAAGTATAATATACAAATACAGGGTGTCTGTAGGGTTTTAACAAGTCTTCAAATGTTTTAAATTCAATTCAAATTAATACATATTACGCAATAAAGTCATTAAATGGTCTTAAATTTAAATTTGAATGAGGCCTTTAATTTCATTTATTTATCTTTTAATTTATTTTTTTCAAAATAAGTCAAGCTCCTCTGCATGACAGTCCACATTTCTAATGTTACAAATCTTTAAACCCACCACTGAACATAGCATTGTCTTTTTAATTTATACTTGCACTTACCTGTCGGCCAAATGAAGATTTAACCTAACATATTCCTACATAAAGCTGCTATGCCTGAAAAAGAAAAAAAAAGATGTTTTGTTTTAAATGTGGTTTAAAATGGTGAGGAAAAGGTCTTGAAAAGCATTAAATAGAAGTATTTTATACCTGTAGAGACCCTGTTGTAACAAAGTGTGATATGTGTGTTTCAGAAAGATAAAGAACATTATACTAAGACGGGTTGTTTTCAGGTTTGAGGTGAAATTAATTAGGGTTTAGACACAAGTGTGGGAGGAATTTATATTTCATTAAATAATACATTAATACCCAAATTGCTGAAAATCGGGATTGCTTATGTCTCAATATACACCATAGACATTGTGCTTGGTTTGACCAAAAATGAACTCACTGCCTTAGGAGAGGATACAAGTTAAGCATGACTGCTACAGTAAAGGTTAGAGGGTAGAAAGACTCCTGCCATGTCAAGTGTGTCCTTTCTGCATGTCTTCCCCTTCTCCTCCAGACCTCAGCTGCACAGCGAGCAGCAGAGAAGTTAGCGCCCCCTCCCTCTGCAGTGCCAGCTCCTAGCCTGTAATTCTCCACGGCTCAGACATCTGTAAGCATTTCTGTCCGACCACAGGAGCAAAATAGAAAGTTGGAAGCTACAGGCTGTGATTTGGGTGTGTATAAATAAAGTTGCGAGCAAAGGAGAGGCTGATAATATGATGGGAGTCCAGAGGGTGGGAGGTCTGGAGGAGCGGGACACCCAAGTCATCAAAGGCGAGGGACGAGTGGAGGGTTTTTCTGTAGGACGTTCAGATTTAGTGTGTGTGTCGCTTAAGGGCATCTCAATGGGTGTATGGTATGTCACATACCATATGCAGGTACAAACTTGATTTGCGTGCCTGTCCACCACCTGTCTTTATCAGTGCATACTGTATGAAATGCAGCTAATGACGGCTGTGTCAGGCAAAACTATTTTTGCTTAATAAAAGTCCCAGAAATACAATAATGTCGGCACACCACTTGAGAGCACCATCGCCATTTTGAATTTCTGAATCTCACTTGTTTCACACTTAATAGAAAATACAAGCAATTGACACAAAATGAAAATTTCTTGTGTCATATGGTGCATTAGTTTAAACATGTTTTTATAGGATTTAGCATGCTGTATCTGGTGACTTTGGAAGCTTGAATTTTGGGGTTTAAATATATTCTGATGTATAGTTCTCTGGTTTTGCAGCATAACATATATCTGTAATAATGACCCTAAAGGTGGGACCAAGACATAATATAGGCTCATAGGCTCAGGCCCATAACCAGGCAGCAAAGGTCTAATGCAAAATGGCATGTCTTTCCCAAAACGTGCGCCATTTCATCTGCAATAATCCCTCAGACTGAGAGCAGATTGAGTGGAAATGAGCCATCTCGTCCTGCAGCTGCCTTCACATTGCTGCTGACTCCTCTGTAGTGGTCTGCCTGGGCGGCCCTGCCTTACAACCGAGGGCACACTTATACAGTTTCCTAAAACGGGATGTTCTGTATATAGCTGGTACAGCAGCAGGCTCACAGCTGGGATGAAAACAACCCGTTCCCTCAGACCCGCCCCAGAATCAAACTCATGAAGCCCAAAATGATCGCTTTAAATATGGGTGTAGGTGCAGCAGCGGAACCGCAGCCACCATTTGAACGAACATCTCTCCATCCCAGTGTTTGTTAGCGAAGCGGGGCTCTAAAGAGCACCTGGGGATTGTTAGTAGATTTGTAAGAAGTACAAGTCAGTAAAAGCATCATGTGAAAGAGAAAATAAAGGCTGATTTGTATTTCGATGCAATACTGAGAAAACAGTATCTGGTTTATTTAGCTTGCTCATAAGAGGTCAGCAATACGGTGATTTAAAGTCAGAATACTTAACACAACAAAGTACCATCTAAATACACAAATGACTAAAAACAGATGTATGTTGTAACAAAAAATGCTAGAAGAAGAAAAATATGGGAGGTGAATGTTGATTGTCCTTTTGTCAGGTGGCCTCTCCTCATCGTAACATTTAGATATTGCCTCCACTGTCCTCTTTCTACCCTGACGAGAGATAATTTCAGCTGTCATCAAAATTTCCATGTAACATAAATACAATAAATAACAACGAAAAAGACCCAGAGTAGCAGAGTAGCTGCTCGCTCACTCTCTCAGCCTCTCTTAAAGGTCCAGTGTGTAGGATTTAGTAGCATCTAGTGGTGAGGACAAATACAAAAACACACACGGCCTTATTTAGAGCCAGTGTTTGGTTTGTCCATTCTGGGCTCCTGTAGAAACAACATGGTGGACTCTATGGAAGAGGATTCCATATGTAGATATAAACGGCTCATTCTAAGGTAACAAAAACACAATGATTCTTAGTTTAGGTGATTATACACTAAAGAAACATAGTTAGGAATATTATAAACCATTCCTGCCAATAGATGCCTTTAAAGCCTACACACTGGACCTTTGACTGTTTGTTCAGGCTTTTCAGTCTTTGATCAACTTCACATTTTAACCGACCGTGTCTGGGAGACTGGCAGGTTTACACTGAACTCCCTCTGATACTGTTATTGCAATCTGGGACATACCAGTACTAATATCCTGCAGCACTCACAATATTTATTATTAGTTTTAGGGTTGCTGGTCCAAAAGTATTATGTGCTATCTACTGTTTTTAACTCTCAGTTAAACTAGTTGAATGACCTGTTTTAGTTTTTTTATTGGTCTAATTTCTGATACCAGCGTTAGTACCAGTGCATCCCAAATAGGCCATTTTTATAAGGCACAAACTGATGTTTTCTCACTCAGCCCAGGTGCCAGAAGAAAATGTTGGCATTGTAGGTTTCTGTAAACCATCGATATGTTACATTTGCACATATAAACGTTTGTTAAGTGACGTATATAAGCTGACTTTGTCATCTAGAGGTGAAAGGGATGGTGGCAGCGTGTCACTTAGGCGAGAAAGAGCAGACCACTGTTCAAGACCAACAGCAAAACCGTCTTTTTCCAGTGGTTTTTTAGTCCCCTGGCTTGGGTGTTTTGTAGCAGTCCATCACAGTGTTTCCACCAGGGATAGTGCCACGCAAAGCATTTGTTTTTTACCTAGACATTGCTGCGTTTCCAGTTGGGATAGTGCCACTAGTACCAAGTTTTTTAAGCAAAAACATGATCTTTTCTTAACAATAATCAAGTGGTTTTTGTGCCTAAACCTAACTAGTTTCAATGTATCCACTATACGGTAATGTACAAAAGTAACGTGGCCATGGTTTGCAGAAATTTACAATGCCAACATTTATTCTGGCGATTGAGCGGTCTCACCAATACAGGTCTTAATTTCCGTATAGATGTCCTTTCTCACTTGGCTTAGACTGGCTAAAAGCTATGATGTTAGCCCTCATCTGCTGAATCCAATCAAATACCCTCTCCCGGCTCGTGTGAATGGTTGACTTTAAGACTGATCTGTTTATTGTTTTGTTTTTTAATATCTCTCCCTTCGCCTCCATCTACCAGCTGAACAGTTTCATGAAGTTTTGGAATCCGTCCTCTCCGAAGAAGTCGAAGGAGCCCTGGGACGTGCCCAGGTGGACCAGCAGGAGGACCAGCAGGACAACGGCCAGCAGTGGAATCAGCAGGTTCCAGCCAGCAGCCAGGATGTTGTACCACTTGGCCTTGTCTGAACACTCCTGGGCCAGCTGCAGGTTGCCCTGAGTCTTCTGGTCCCTGGCCTACACAGACACAAATACACACACATACACACACATTATTACATGCAGCCACTGAAGTCAGTGTGAACTAATACAAAAATTAAGAATCACTAAGTTTCATAATTTGAGACAGTTAAAGACACAAAAGCTTTGTTTTTACTGCACGGCCCAGCGAAATCTTTCTAAAGATAATTTACATGAAGAGCAAAAATACTTAGTTAGTGTCTACACCCATGTGTACTGTAAATAGTCAGAGGAGGAGGGCAAACAGAGGCATATTACAATGTTCAGCCATGTCTTTGTTTACAACCAGTCCATCACAGCTTGTCTCATAACAGTTTTTCCACATGGAGCACAGACTCAAGGTTGAGCAGGGGTGGAGTGATATGAAATCCTTGAGCTGCTTCTAAGAGTATCCGTATATATTTTGGAACGGACCAGGCCGAGTCTTTCCCGAGCACTCTCTAATTTCCCATGAGTACTTGCCCATTAGGAAGATGCCAATTACGCCGTTTTTAACTCCCCAGACGAGCAGCCAGTCACTGTCTTTAATTTGAGCGCTCAGCCAATACTGGGCCTGTGATTCAGAGCTGCGCCCCATGTAGACATGAAAGATATAAAAAAAGATTTAAATAAAGGCTACACACACACACCCTTTTGTGGTGAGTATTTCAGAAACCTTTTTGTTCAGGTGGTCACACAGTTTGACCTGTCCTGCTTTGCATGTGGACGTTTCAAGGATTATTTAGTGAGAAAAGCTTTTGTTTTGGTTTACGTTCCTGTTTCTCCACAGCTCCATTCCTGTGGTGAAGGGCACACCAACTTTCTGCTGTGTACGTGCCCTCTGACCAGGGACAATAACAGGTCTCTACAATGTGCATATTGCTTTTTTACATTTTACAAAAAAAGATTTTTGCAACAGAGAGTTTATGGTGAAACATTGCGCTTGTTTTCATGGCATCACTCAACCTGTTGCACAAGTCTGGCATTGCAAATCTAGCAAATGCTACTTTGGCAAAGACGTAATGCCTAGGTAACATGTTAGCTCAGAAATTATACCGTACTGCTGGCATTCCCCTGTGCTTCATTTCCCAATATGACATTTGCCACAACATGCCCAATGTTTTAAAGCTTTTCTTGCCAGCTCAGCCCACCTTTTGTCAATTTCTGCCAAACTTGCAACACAGAAGGCTTTGACTCATCATAGATAATTTCCCTCTGCAGATGAGGTTGCACCAGACTGGCACTATTGTACTCATATGTAAAATTGCATATTATACACTAATTTCAAAATCGTTCTCATTTCTTGTTAAGTGTACTCCAGTGTTTATACCCTACCAATTACACCAGCTTGAAATGACAATAACTGCTGGAAGCTTCTAAACATATTTAGAAAAGACTGTGTCAAATAGAGATATCTTCACATGACAGTGAACTATGACTTAATATAGACGGTGTAGGCAGGGTAGTTACGCTGGCGCCCATGAGGTGAGGGGGCCCTCCAATTACTTGTTGGGCAGAAAACAAGCCTGTTCAAAGAAAAACTCACACTGAATTAAAAAGGGTGCCATTGCTATATATGCCTTTGAAATGGCAAACCCATCTCCATCATAGGTTTCAGGTTTTTTGTAAATAGTCAGTAGCAGTCTGTAACAAAATATGTTATTTATTCCACATAAACTATAAATAAACTGTAATAAACAATCAATTAAATAAATAATTCCTTGTTTCGTTGGTATTTTTGTCATATACATATATGCAGTGATGATTTCTGGGTAATATGTTATTGGTGTTATCAAGTGTCAAGTCTCTATTGGATCATGTGACGATAAGATCATACTATAGCTCGTTTGGGCGTATAACAAGTAAGCAGCGCGCCTTAGGGCCTGTTATAATAGCGTGCACTAAGGCCTGTTGTAACAACCTCACGCCTCTGCTTAGCCTTTGTGTTGTTGGATTCTGCTGTAAAACACCTAAGTAGTGAGAATCCTTCAGTCATTGTTTGGACATCTTATCTCAGACATAAAACAATGCAGCCACATGCTGTCGCCTTCCTTTTCACACCTCAGTTACTTCCTTGAATGTTGCATGACTCATGAAAATTGTTGAAACTGGAACATACAAGTACAGAGTGGCACAAAAAAAGAGCACAAGATCACACCTTGATAGAGTAGATGAGAGCCATGAATCCCAGGCAGCAGAAGTTAACGTACAAGGTGTTGCACAGCGACCAGACTAGATAGTCCCGGGGAGGATTCTTGCCAGCGTTGCCCATGTTCACCACGGTGGATCCAGCCGGCTTACGGGCAGACTTGCAGTTGGTGAGCGGGGTGCAGTCTGAGGGGAAGTTGTACGAATGGTTGTCCATGGTTAGCGTTTAGACAGACGATCCCCTGCTGTGGGTGAATAGGTGGAGGTGGGTTTGCAAACTGGCGAGCCTTCCAGAAGCTTGTGCACGGTCCCTCTTTGGAAAGTAGTGCCCCCCCCTCGCCGAGTGCGAGAGGCTTATAAAGGCCCATGAGGAGGGAGGTGACCAGGAGAGGACGCATGGGCAGGGTCCTTTAATATACAGCAGGTCTGTCATTATGTGGTCAGGCCTGAGAGAGACTGAAATAGAGATACAGAAAGCTGTATGAGAGAGAAGACAGAAAAAGAGGCAGCAAATACATGCATGGGAGCAGCGCAAAGTCTCTTCCACCAAAGCACCCATCACCTCAGCTTTCTTAGAGGTCAGGTGGGTGAGTTGGGCGGAGGTAGCAGAGGACAGTGGAGGCAGGGTTGTGCGGTTCAAAAGCCTTGAAGGTGTTAGGGAGGAGTTCATCTGAAGTGCTGTCTGCCAGAGGCCTCGAGGGAAAAGTATAGTTAGTATCTTAGGGAACTGAGTAGGTGCAAAAAAGTCCAGTTCCATGGATTTTCATGTCTACAAGACCTAAATTAAAAGTTCTGGCCAGATGTTCTCCAGCTTGAATACAAGCTAAAGCTCAAACAACTGGTTGATCAACAGAGAATGTACTTGTCTGATAGTTTTAGTCATTTTAGAAGCAAAATTGTCAAACATTCACTGGTTCTGATGTCTTAAATGTGACAGTTTGCCACTTGTGATTGTAAAATATGTTATTAAACAGACTACATTTGATTTTTGGATTGCTGATCTGACAAAAAATAGCTATTTTTGCTCAAGGTTTTCTTTTTACGGGGCAAGACTGCCTCAGTATTATATTTTCAAGCCCTTCAAATTCATTCAGTTACTCACATTGGAGTTTCCACCTACAACCACAGTCTACTATCGATGGCCACTGACTGCGGAAAATAGGTGTTTAGTGCCTTGTGAAAGGGAACAGCAAGCATTACTCATATTCATAAATAGAATAGAATATCTTTATTGTCATTGTACACGTACAACTTCTCAGTACCAATATCAGCAAACAAACTATATTGTAAAAAATAAAAGTAAAACAGTAATAAATATTACACTTAGAAAACACTGCAAAACACACATGGAGCATTTAGCCTTTGGCACAAATCCCTTTGTATTGCACTCAAGTATATTTCCACAGTCAAATTTTAATGCATTAATTGGATTCATTGGATAAAAGCTGTTTTTTTTAACCTGTTTGTCATTGTTTTAACTGTCCTGGGCAGCAGTTCCAACCAGTGGTTTCCCAGGCTTTTTTTGAGGCAGTTCTTACATAGTTCTTACATGGAAAGCAGAGGACAGCCGATAATTTTCTGGGTGGTGTTGACGACCCGCTGGAGCACTCTTTTAAAGATTTACCCAATCAAGTCAATGGGCTGCTGGCAAGATATGGACACTTATCTGCTTCTCTGGCTTGATAGTCACAGAGAGAGGTATAGTTGTAAGGTATAGCTGCAGATGTTCAAATGTTGAAACGTGTAACAACAGAGCCATCTGCTGGCCTTTTACTGAAATTTATCCTTTGCATAGTGCTCCTAATGGCCTTTATTCTTACTTTGAACCAACATAAATACATAACATGGGCGGACAAAGTGCAGACGCTAACAGCTGCAGACAGTAGAAACAACTAATTTCAGAGAATGTGCAAAGTGCTGCAGCGCTGAGTGTTCAGTGTTTTAAGACATTTAAACGTATATGTGCATGCGTGACGTATTCCCAGCAAGATGCACAGTTTGAGGTATTTCTTGGACTTTTACCATCAAGGGAACACATTTTTCTGTAGCATAACGAGAATAATCAATGGTGGAAGTAAGGATCTCTTGAAATAAAATATCTTTCTAGCAGAGGATGGTTTCGATCCATCGACCTCTGGGTTATGGGCCCAGCACGCTTCCGCTGCGCCACTCTGCTCCATACATTCTTAGCAGAAATACATGAAATTTAATAGTTGCGTTTCTAATTGTTAGTCTGTTGAGTAGATGTAAATAGCTTCCCCCAAAGTATCGTTCTTGCACTGACTATGAGTAGAAAATGTCTTTGTAGTAACATAAACAATCCAATTGCGATCATGGGTAACGATCGACACTTCCTTTCAAAATAAAAGCATCGACTTTAAAATGAACGGGAAATATAATGACTAAAGTCAGTGGCATAAGGTAGTTACAATGGGCCCCAGTGCACGCTATTATGAGGGGCCCTATTAGCCCTAGTGTTATGAAGCACACACACACACACACACACACACACTGCCTGTTTTCCACACATTTGTGGGAACATTCATGGAATAATTTAATATAAATGTCATTGTATTTACCTAAATTACATTGTACTATATGTTATCGACTGTTGTAAAAAGAACAAGTCATTTATAAAATGTGTTCTCATGTTTAAACACAGAAATGTAAACAAAACTAAATCATTATTGAACATTCAATAAACATTTGAAAAAACTCATTCTTTTCATTCAGTGTTTCACACTGGGACATCAACCTTCACATCTAAAGGGCCTTGACAGACATTAAGCAGCAAGTTGCCCATAGCTGACTGAGAGTGCCTGAAAGGGTCAAAGGAAGGTTGTGTCCCAGATATGATAATGCCTATTCAAGGGCTCTGGCCTGGCTCATCTCGAGCAAACCTGATGCTAACTTCCGTTTCGGCCTACAGAAAAACGTCATCCCTGGAGCACCCAATTAAGATCTTACTTATTAAAACTAACCAATCACGTTTCAACTGGGAGGCATTTTTGTAGGTTACACCTAGGGTCCTAGTGTCGCCCTGGTTCCCTCGTCAATACCACTTTACTAGCTAACGTTACGAAAATAGTTGCTTAGCATGTACAGTCATATAATTTACTGCCAGCGTTAATTTGTCGACACTAACGTCCGTGTCGGCCTACAGAATAACGTAATCCCTGGAGCACCCAATTAGAATCCTGCTCTAGCCAGTTGCTAGGTGAAAAATGTATTCGGCCGCCCTGTGATTGGTTATCCCGCTATAATTTTTCCCCACTAGTGTTTTTTTTTAACTAATTAATCACATATCACCTGGGAGGATTTTGTAGGCTGTGGGCACACCTGAGAGAAATTAACTTTCGCCGTTGGTTCACCTCTGCTTACAGGAAATTATGCGACTAACTGTGCTTAGCGACAATTTTCGTAACGTTAGCTAGTAAAAGTGGTATCGGAAGCTACCAACGGCTGTACTACACTCACCCGAGAAAAGGACGGAATACGTTAGCTTCGTGAGAGTTTGAACTGGTGAAGAATTGGCGCTAACTGTTTTGGTGCAAACAAAAGAGGTTAAAGACATTTCCACCCGAGTAATTACGAAAGTTATGTGTGAATTACCCGGGTTACCCCAACACGGGAGTGCCTGATAACGTTGGTTAGCGCGGAAAGGACCCTGGAGATGGAGTTAACGGTTACTTGTGGACTGAACGTTAGCCGGCTGTTGACGTTCTGGAGAGGCTAACTGGTGAGTCAACTTCAATGCTTATGAATTCACAGTTTTGTTTTTAACCGTGGGTCTTTATCAGTGGGCAGAGGTTTTATAAATGTGTCTGTATCTTTGTGTGTGATGTTGGACTTAAGATGCTAACTGCGATTTTTGTTATGGACACAAAAACACTTCTGATCATTCATTGTTGTTAAAGGAAACATTTGGAATATGTATGCAAGTATGTTTTGTTTTCGTTTTTTTAACCGTCTAAAGCCATGCTCAACCAAAATATTGAATAGTCCTTAGGTAGTGATGTTAAGGTAATAAATTTACATTTTTTATTAAATAAAAAGGCGTCAATTTAATGTTATGTTATATATTTGATTAAAAAAAACTGTCAGTCGGATAATTCACTATTTGTGAGATGTTTTCAAAGAACTGTAATGGTATTTTGGCAATTTTTTTTTTCTGTTTTACAATTACCATGAACAGACTTCACCAACCGTTTGGTAGAGGCCTATATCTAAAAATCTATAGGGTTTGTTTAATAAATAAAAAAATAAATAAAAAATATTTTTTATTATTAATGCCCAAAGGAAATACAAAAATGTTAAGAAAAAAAATTCAATTGCTTTTATGTTAGTGTGGACTTAAAAGCATTTGACATAAAAACAAACTCTTACCACTATTGCAGTGTTATTTAAAAATACACCTTATTGGGCTTCAAAAAAATTTTGTTTATGGCGAATGTTTGTTTACTTTATAAGATACTGCATAGTTTAGCCCCTGCACCCCAAAAACAGTTTATTCTAACAGTTCATGGAGAAAGAAATAAGATGAAAAAAAAAACAACTATTGTTACAAAATGTGCGAAGACAGACAGCCGTGTTGTCATTAAGGTCTGATAATGCCTCTTTTGTCATTTATGCACTGGTCTGTCCTGCAGTTGTATATATTTACTAATGTTATGTGGAAATAGAATTTTTTTTATATTGCTGTATGTATTTATTAATGTTACATGAAATTGACATTTTTATATTCCTATATGTGCAGCATATTCACACCCAGGCACAACACATGAAAATTAGCATTGTGCTGTATCTGGTGTAGTAGACCCCCATGAAATTGAGACATTTAAAAATGGCTGAGGTTTCAGACTGTTTTCGGCTATTTTGTTTATATAACAACCAACCTAGCGCTATATGCTGCTTGCTTTAATCAAAGATTGGATCACCAAACAATGTTTGGTTTTGGCCATGGATGCATGTTTGCATGACGTCAGTTTTCATAGTTAAGTTTGAGGTTGTTGTGATGACCCCTGCCCAGTTTGCTGCCCTGTGTGTGAGTGTGTGCGCGCTCCATGTGATTTGTTATCAATTGTGAGACATGGATGATAAATTGTTTAAAGATAAATTTGTAAAAGATCCATCCTAGTGTAAATAAATAACACATATGAAATGTGATATAACACACAAAAAAGGAAACATCTTAAAAGAGCCTCTTTTCTTTTTAAACCACAACAGCTCATCAGACAGATTAGCTCTGGCAAACCACTTAAAATGTAAATCAAGGGACTTGAAATTCACCCTCAACCTGAAATACATGAATTTATGAAAT